AATTAAATATTCTTGCATTTGAAATTTCTTTTGATAATTAAACTAACAAATTTAATTAGTCAAATAAATTAAATTATTTTCAAATAAATATTACTATATCCGTTGCTAGTACATGGAATATAATTAATATTGTGGACAAATTGAATTTTTTTATTTGGAATAAAAAATTAAATTATATCTCTTGGTTGAAGTATATATGTGAAATATATTTATTAGCACTCACAATTAATATTTATATATATATANATATATATATATATATATATATATATATATATATATATATATATATAATAGTTGTCTATAAAATATTAGTAAATACTTACTCCAATTTGAAATTGGATAGTTGTAAAGTAAAGGACGTGTAAGTCAATCTAATTTTGAATTGGATTGTCGCGAACATCTGTCCATAAGGACGCTCGGCATTCGGCAGAATCTTTCCATTAAGAATGTGATTCAATGTTTCCGATTTTTCTTTAGAGAGGAAGTGATTCTTAAATAATACTTTCCTCCGTTTCATTTAAGGCACATGGAAAAGAGGAGAGGAGAAAAAAGGAAAATGGTGTAGTTGAGTCCCCTAATTTAAGGCACTAATAATGGATTGTATATAATTTGTAAGTACATGAGCGAATAATATACAAAATTAGGACAGTATTGGTAAATAAGTTTCAAATATTTTATAGGAAGGAAAAAATCACTTTTTATTACAAAAAATAATAGAAAATAAGGACTACGGATTTAAAAGTAAATATTATAAAAGCATACCTGGAAAGGAGAATAATCCAACAAAATACAGAATAATTAAACAGGAAAAAGAACAGATCTAAAGGAGAAAAAAAGTAGAAAAAGGAAAGACGCCCTGGTCTAACAAAGGGGAAAAATCTCCTTTATTCTTTCTCCTTTTGCCAACCATTGCATCTTTTAAAAAAGATAATATTTATATATTACAGAATTTTTCTAACTTAGGAGCATTTAGCTAGTGGAAACTAAAGGTTCTGCAGTTCATTTCGGATTAATAACGTACTTCCATTATTATTCTTAACTCCAAAAATCAAAAGTTCTGTTCTCTTTAGCAGATCTAGGGACCGGTTTATCTAAAAGATACTCGACTGGAACTTTTTCTTTAATTAAGCATATATTAACTTAAAGGATCAAAGGGAAAGAGGAAAAAGGAGTTGGAAGTTTCTATAGGTGCAATGCCTATGACTATATTTTTGAGAAGTCTGAAAGAAGGTGCTCAATAGGGGTGGACATATATAGGGTAAAACTGATAATCCGAACCGTTAATTATTTATTAAATTATCGATATCGGGTTATTAGGTTAACTGTTCGGTAACGGTTTAGAATTTTTTCACTATTGAGTTATCGGTTTGGGCCACGTTTTGCCAATTTTGTTAATGGGTAAACCCATAACCCAATAAGAATTAATAAGATTACGACTTTACCCTTAAGTATATACATATGCTAGGGCTTCAGTTCATTCTCTCCTATTCTTTCTCAGCTGCACACTTCAGTTGCTTCATCTTCATTCTTCATAGACCTTACTAGACATAAGCGGCCCCTTTAAGTTGTTCTCAACGATTTAGACAAACACTTCAATTAACCCATTTACCATTTAGACACTTCAAGTGATTATTAAGTATATCAAGTATATCAAGTAGGCAAGTTACGTGTATTTTAGTTGCATTTGGGCGCGTGAGGCTTTTTATCAAACTTTTCTTTCTTGTTTTCAGAAGAAAAATAATTTTACAACTGGCTAATGAAGCTCGAGTTGGATAACTTAGACGGGTTTGTCGGAACCCGTCCCGCTTATACACCTGATTTTCAACCAAATATCTGACATCAAAGCCCTAATCTGGTGTCGTGTCGTTTCCAAACGGTTCAACTCTTTGTTTCTCAAGCAAATGCTCCGCATCCAGGTCGACCACCAATTCCGACAACTACAACGACTCCTTCATTGCCTTACTCAGATCCATCATCAAATTCCTTCACCACTTCGTTTCCTAGAGCAAGCCTCTCCGGATCGGACCCGATCTCAAAACTCGACCGCCCAAATCCTTCACCATTTCAAGAAGATCTGAAACCTCCAAATGAAGATTCGGTTAGAGAAAGGCACGATGATTAGGTGGAAGACATAAGTGAAAGGAGGGTTGAGGGTTATATTTTGGGGAAGAGATGACGGAAGAAAATGGGTTGAGGGTAGTGTATTTGGGAAGACATAAGTGAAAGGAGTTGGGGGGGGGGGGAGTAGTGGAAAGGAGTTGGGGGGGGGGGGGTAGGGAGGGCGAAGGAAGGGCGCGTTGGTCAAGATCAAAGCAAGGAAGAAGTATTTTTCTTTCCATGTCTTTTTTTTTTATATTACACGTGTCTAATTTTTATGGCAAATGATACGTGGCATTTTTCAATTGGTTCATTTGACATGTCATTGACAAGTGTAACTCACGCACATGGTCTGCTGCACTCGAGTGTTTACTTGATACACTTAATAGCCACTTGAAGTGTCTAAATGGTAAATGGGTCAATTGAAGTGTTTGTATGATCGTTGAGGACAACTTAAAGGAGCCGTTTATATATTTCGCCTTTTAATTTCTATAACAAAATTCATCTTCATATTCGTATTTTTGATTAGTAATGATTATATTTTTTTTTTAATTTTCGTTTCTTTATTTTGTAAGCTCACGATATGCAACCTATACCTATTACCAATTTCTCTTCGCACTTATCAATTCTCAATCGACAAACTTTGTCAGTTTCGGGTATATTTTTGAACATTATTCTTCTGTACAGTACGCTGAGCTTTGACAACAAGACAATATTTTCTTTCCTTCTAGGTATTTTTTATTTCTGTGTTAGTATTGCCCATGCACAGATCAAGGTTTTGCTCTATAATTTCTTTTTTCAGGTTAGGCATTTGACAAACAACATCCAATTCATCTTGGACCGTTAGTACAATATGTTTGGACTTGTTAATTTTAAGGTGAAATTGCTACTACTTTATATTATTATTAATGTACTTGGACAACTATTGTTGAAGAATTAGTACTATTCCAGTTGTGGCCACCAGACAGAACGTAGAAATGGGTAGTATACTATATGTGAATTCTTCTCTTTTTTGATTAACTCCAGTAATTTGTCTTTTTTTTTTCTTAACTCTAGATTGAGTTATCTTATCGGGTAAACCGATAACCGTACCGATAATGATCGATAACCGATTAACCAATAACCGCTAACCAATATCTTATCGGTTCGATTATCGGTTTATCAAATTTGTAAACCGATAATTGATATGCTAAACCGATAATATTCATAATCGAACCGGACCGACCGATAACCACCCTAGTGCTCAACAACAAAAAGAGCAATAGTTTAATTAATGGAATAACCCTAATTAATGGTACTCTCGACATCTTGTTCTTTCAACTCCCTAATTCATCGAAATACTTTTAAAAACTCGTCGTCGAATATGATGAAGACCATTTCCAAATGTCAATCTACTATAGTCTGTTTGGTCGTGTTTCTTTTCGGTCAATTTTTTTTTTCTAAAGTAATGTTTTTGGGCAAACTTTAAAAAAAAAATATTTTTGAATAGAAGTAAAAGCAGTTATTGAGAAACAGAAAAAAATAATTTCTACTTAAATGTACTTTTTTGGAAAAAATACATTTATAAGCACTTTATAAAAGCTTAACCAAACATTAATTGTTGCTCAAAAAACTTTTCAAATCGATTAGTCAAACATAAATTGCTTCTCACCAAAAATATTTTTTTTAAAAATACTTTAAAAAAATAATCAAAATAAATTAATTTTAAAAGTTTGGCCAAACAAGATATAAGGAGCCAATTAGTTGTACGAATAAGGAGAATCCCCTCACTAGATCCCGGATAACTAGTACATTGTTTGGTTGCTTGAATAAGGAGAATTTACTCTCCTCGTTAATGTGAGGATTCATAACAAATATAATCACTCATTATTTACACTAAATCAATAAATGTACGTATCGTTCAAATAGATAGTGGAGTACAATTTTAGCTTTAACATTTAAGTAAATTTTTTGATCTAATACAAAATTCATTTTTTTAAATTTTTTTTTTAAACTCCGTAGCTTGGCACTCCTATGCATAGCTACGACACTTGTCATAGCGCTAGATAAAAGCGGAGAGTAAAAGTTGAACATAACATGCATTTTCCAATAAAGTACGACACATGTCAAGGAACAAGAACCTTTGTCTATAGAGAACTTGCAATATTCACGACAACTACCCACGAGCAAATCTAATTACTAGTCTTGGTCCCTATTCATACTTACTTTTTCCAGCTTGAACACTTCCCAATCCAATCCGAAGTTACTATTAAGAAAATAATTATTAAGCTTATAATCCTATTAAATTTAGTTTCTCATTTCAAAATGACAAAAAGAAAGTTGAATAGCCATCACATGAGAATTGACATGACGTGTCGTTACAAAGTAAGTACTCCCTCCGGTTCACAATAAGTGACCAATTTGCTTTTATTATGCCCATTAAGAAAATACTAAATTCTATACAAAAATACCTACTATGACTAAACTACCCCTAATTAAACATTTGATGTGAGGACTAAGAAAACTTCTTAGGGATATGTACATAGGGATTATTTTATTAAAACAAATTGAATTCTTTCTTGATTACATAATTGGACACTTATTTTAAACCAAAATGAAAAAGCAAATTGATCACTTATCGTGAACCGGAGGAAGTATCATGTGATTGTACAAATAATGTCTTGTACTTGGAAAAGCATGCGTTATAAACTGGTGCCATATATGATTACCAATTATTGAAGGACTTCCCCAATATGGACTCGTTTGTTATCGACCACAATTTCATACTACTGATGCAATTTAATTAACGTGCTTAACGTTAGTAATCACTGCAACGATCATGGATAATTATATATCTTAAATAACCATCAAGGTGACGGAATATTATTAAAAAAAAATTACGCATATATTAAACGCATAATCTAACATCTTTTAATAAGGAAAGAAGGGAGGGAAGTAACACATACCACAATATTGCCAATGCCAGGAGGAAATACTATAGGACTGTTAATTCTGTAATTACCACCTTGGAAATCAATAATAGCACCACCCAAATCACTAATACCAGGTAGCAATCCAAGTCCATTTTGCAATTTGAAAGCATCACCAATAGCCTTCTTTATAGCTTCACTGCTATCTTGTGTCCCTGTTGGATCAGCACCATACCCTATTGGATAAATTATCCTTCCTTCACTCTGAAGCCAAACAAAATAGGAAGTCAAGGTATGAAAGTCAAAGAAAAGTCTACACCACCATTTTCTTTCAAAATGTAAAAGGAAATGACATGATAAAAAAAAGAGAGAAGGATGTAGCTTAGATTTTTACGTTAAAACAAAACAGTAGAGAAGAAAGATAGTGTAAGATGCTGGAGTAGTATTATTATTACCTTTTTGGCGTTTGAGTAATTGGGAACAGAAGCTTGTGGAGATGGTGAAGGTGATGAGGTATAGATGAAAGAGGAATAAGAAGGGAATTTCTCTTCAAGTCCTTTTTGAAATTCGTAAAGTTTCAATTGTCTAAGAGAGCCATTTGCCTCTTTTACAACCAAATTAAGTAGACAAAACAAGATTGATAAACAAGAAAATGGCTGCATCTTTTTTTCGAAGCATAAATTTAGGGCTTTATGTAATGATGACCACTAGGAGAAGAAAGATTTGTAGGATTTTGGCAAGCGTCTAGTTATTATCTGTACAAAAGGGACTTTAAGTACTACTATTCGGTAATGAAAGTACATAGTAACTTACTCCGTCCGTTTACTTTTACCTGTTCACAATGGACTTTACACTTTCCTTAGGAAATAATAAATAAAATATATATTTTATTATAATACTCATAATAGCATTTCAAAAAGTTTTGAGAAATTATTTAAAAAATAAGTAATTAATGATTTGAATAAAATAAAATAAAAACTATATTTGATAAAATAAATAAGTAAAAGTGAAAATATATTTTAAGAGAACGAAGAGAGTAAATTGTCGTAGTAATTGCTAGCACCGGAAAAGAGAAGATACTGTTAGAGAGGTCATTGGTTGGGTTAAATGCAGCATTTATTTATGCTTTGACTCTGAAGACTGTGAAATGAATTGGCAAAACAGAATTAGAACTCTGATTTTAAGGCAATAAATTGCAATGTCATTAAATGGGGTAGTTTTGACAGCGTCATATAATGATTCATGTGGTATAAAAATGGGAATTTTGATCAATGAGATGACTCTATTACTATGTAGTATATGGTGAGATTAGAATTTTTGCCTTTCAATTGTCAAATGAAGCGAGCAAGATTTTTGAACATCTTGTTTTATAGTTCTAAGAATAAATAGGATTTTAACTATTGCCTTGTTAGATCTCTTTGTTCACTTATATGAAAGAATTTATGTCTCATATTTTTAATTGAAAATGTAGAAAAAGTGAAATAATTCCATTTTCTTTCCGAAACATAAAACATTCCAAAATTAGAAAAGACCCATGTATACAATATCCTGATATACCTTAAAGTACATTTACACATTTTTTTATTCCTATGGAGAGGTGGATATGGTAAAATATGCCACACCAGGTGGCCGCTTAAAAGAATGACACGTGGAACATAAGGCGAGGGATAGTTAGAACCGAAGGCAATTATCTCGTTTGTTACGGGAAGGAATGACACTCATAAAGAGGCAATAAATACCCTCCGCCCGGTAGCATTTAGTGGAGAATATTTCACAGCATTTAGTATACTGCCCGTTACAAAAGGATATGGGCATTCATGCTTGCCGTTACACACTCTTCAATGGCACTCATAATTGGCATCGAATAGGGGCTTGATCCTAGGTCCTTATTCCCTAGATATAACTATAAATAGTGAGCTCCTCTACCATTGTAGGGAGACGACTTTTCTTGCAAACTTATGCTATAATATGTTCAAAGCTTTGTACAATTTTACTTTCTTGTTCTTTAGTCTCATCATTGTTGGGTCCAAAAGCTCTGCCCCCAGAATTACTATTTTATGTGATTTCATCTGTATTTCAAGGCTACGTATTGTACATTTCGTTAATTCTTTCATTATTACAGGATCAAATTAATTCACTTGTCTAGAAACTACGTATAAATTCAACTATACCATTTTACAGGTTAACAGTTTGGCGCCTATCGTGGGCCATAGACAGTCGTGTAATTAAGTTGATCCTTGCCTCTTTTGCTAATGTGTTTTGATTATTTGTCTTAGCAAAAATCATAAGAAATGGCCAAAAAAGGTGTTAACACACACACAATCCTGAGGTTCGAGGAGACCAGCCTCATTTCGAGGATTCAATCAGTGACACCCACAATGAGGGGAACGATGCCACGCTGGTCCACGACAGGCGATACCCGCGACATGTTTAGGAGGCAACTCCCGATGATGCTGAAGAGGAGCATGTTGTTGATGCGGTAAGGGTCTTACAAGCGCAACAAGCGATCATTCTAAGCCACCTTACACGGCATGATAAAGTTACGACGGGGTTGAATAGGTATTATCGGGGGCTTCCAATAATGCGAATAGACGAGACCCAATTCCTCCCGGCTCCCGCTAATCAAACAACGCAGAAGGTCGACAATAACAACTCGAGGGGCGAGGTTGGTTTCGATAGAGCTGGGGGGAGCAGAACCGGCCCCAATAACGAAAATGATCCCTTCAAGAATGAACTTTTGCGGTTTATGAGAGAGGTAAACGCCCATATGGACCAAATCCCGGGCACACCACTAGTACTGAAAGGACCAGACTCAAAGAAGTATACTCAATTGCCGTACAAACCAAGCGCGGTACCAGAATTAATCTCGAAGCGATTTATAATGCCGGACGTGCCAAAGTATGATAGAACTTCAGACCCTCAAGCGCATATTACCACCTATACAATGGTGGTGAAAGGGAATGATTTAGCTCCCCTCGAGATTGAATCTGTTTTGCTGAAGAAATTTGGAGAGACTCTCACGAGGGGAATCTTGATATGGTATTCACTGTTACCCGAGCTTTCCATAGATTCTCTTGAGATGCTCGCGGATTCTTTTATTAAGGCTCATGCCGGGGCCAAAAAGGTGCAGGCCTCAATGGCCGACATATTTAGAATCATACAAGGAAAATACGATTACTACGAGAGTTTGTTAGCCGATTCTAAAAGGAGAGGATGTTGCTCCCGGCTATTCTAGATGAATGGGTGGCTGAAGCATTTACCAAGGGACTGAATCCGAGAAGTTCGGATGCTTCTCGAAAACTGAAGGAAAGTTTGCTTGAGTTCCAAACAACGACTTGGGCGGATGTACACAACCGTTATGAGTCAAAGATAAGGATAAAAGATGATCAGGTTGGTTTTCCGTAATCGGCAAAGGGACGGGAGAAGAACAAAGAAAAATCAAAAGACGATTTCGACACGGACAGACGGTCTTCAAGGGGCCGGTTTTTGCCTTACGAACGGACCGAGGGCCGCGGCAGAGGTTTCTAGTCAGTAGACAGGTTCACTATTGATAGAACGACTGATCGCGGCCGGAACAATAAATCATTGCAGCACAAAGAAGCGTCAGGTATGCGAGATTCTCCCTACCCCAGGCTATCAGAATACAATTTCAATGTCAGTGTAGTAGAGCTGGTATCCGCTCTGAGAAACATCAAAGAAGCACGATTCCCAAGGCCGATGAGATTCGATACCGGCAGAGGGATCCTAACCTGTGGTGTGAATACCATAGGACGAATGGCCATCGGACCCGGGACTACCGACATCTCCGAGAAGAATTGGAGACACTATTGAAGAATGGTCATCTCAGAGAATTCTTAAGTGACGGTGCCAAGAACAATTACGGTCGTAACTTGGATAACGCGGAACCCTCGAAAGTAGGAGAAGGTCCCCCGTGCCAGACAATCAACATGATCATCAGAGGGAACGAGATCAATGGGGTCACCTTCTCGGCAACAAAAAAGAAGAAAGTATCAATAACCCATAGAAAAAGAGACTCCGGGAAGTTGCCGAAGACGACATCACTTTCACGCAAGAGGACGCAGACGGATTGCTGCTACCGCACAACGCCGCATTGGTAATTTCATTAAAAGTGCTAGGCTTAAAAATCAAACGTGTTCTAGTGGATCCAAGGAGTTCGGCCAATATCATACAATGGAGAGTATTGGAGCAAGCTAGACTCACCATAAGCATCATTCTGGCCACGAAACTCCTCACCGGATTCTACCTCTCGAGCGTGACAACCCGAGGAGAGATTCTGTTGCCCACGAACACCAAAGGAGTGATGAAAACGACTCTTTTTGAAGTGGTAGATGGTGATATGGGATATAATATTATTCTGGGACGACCATGGTTGCACAAGATGAAAGCTGTATCATCAACGTATCATCAATTATTGAAATTTCCAACGACCGAAAGAATTGAACGTATAAGGGGCGACCAAGCGACGACAAGGGAGATGAATGCTATTTCGGTCTCCAGTAGCAAAGGAAAGGAGCGCGCGGCATAGAAACTTCAGGAACCGACACCCACTCCCGAATCGAATGAAGTTAGCCCGGGGTAGAAGCGTCAGAATCTTATCAGGTGCCAAGGTATTTCCACGTACTAGAAGAGACGGATGCAACAAAATCCATGGCGGAAGAACTCAAGAAAATTGAATTGTTCGAAGAGTTCTTAGAAAGGAAATTCCACTCGGGAACATGACTACACCCCGAGCTCAGGTCTGGATTTATTGAATTTTTTAAATATAATGTCGCTTGTTTTACGTAGTCTCATGCGGACATGACAGGTATCCTAACGGAGGTGGCCGTACACAAGTTAAGTCTGGATCCCAACATGCCTCCAATGAGACAAAAGAAACGCCCTATAGCAGAGGCCAGGAATAAATTCGTCAAAAAAGAGGTAACTCGCTTACTTGATATCCGTTCGATCCGAGAGGTAAAGTATCCAGACTTTCTAGCTAATGTCGTAGTAGTTTGTAAGAAGAACAATAAACTTTCTATGTCCGTAGATTATAAGAACTTGAATAAGGCGTTCCCTGAAAGACTCGTTCCCACTAGCAAACATCGATTAAATGATCGATGCGAGCCAGGCACGAGTTAATGATCTTCCTCGCTGCTTATTCTGGGTATAACCAAATTAAGATGAACCCGGAGGATCAGGAAAAGACTTTGTTCGTAACAAATTTTGGCACATATTTTACTGTAATGTGATGCCCTTCAAGTTGAAGAACGCCGGAGCCGCTTATCAGCGGCTCATAAACAAGATGTTTGAAAAACAAATAGGGAAAACTATGGAAGTTTATATAGACGATATGCTCGTTAAGTCTTTGAATGCAGGTTACCACCTTAAGCATCTGCAAGAAACCTTTGACGTCCTTAGGAAGCATAACATGAAGCCTAACCCCGAGAAATACGCGTTCGGAGTCAGCCCTGTTAAGTTCCTAGGATTTCTGGTATCACAAAGGGGGATTGAGGTAAACCTTGATAAGATCAAGGCCATAGAAGACATCTCGGACCATCAGTCAAGCGTGAAAGAAGTCCAAAGGCTCACGAGAAGATTGGATGCCTTGAGCAAGTTCAGTTCTTGGTCATCAGAGAAATGTCACAGTTCCATCGCACTCAAAAAGAAAAACAACTTCGAATGGACCTCGGAGTGCCAAATGGCTTTGAGAGATTTGAAAAGGTATTTGTCGAGCCCTCTGTTACTTTCGAAACCAAAGGAAGGTGAAACACTATTGTTCTACCTTGCAGTCTCAGAAGTAGCGGTAAGTGCAGTTTTAGTCAGTGAGGACGAAGGTATGCAATCTCCTATTTATTATATAAGTAAAATTTTAACGGGAGCAAAAACTCTCTACCTGCATTTGGAGAAGGTGTCCTTAACTCTCGTAGTCACTGCTCGGAAGCTGAGGCCCTACTTTCAATGTCACCCTATAGCTATGGTGACCACATTTCCCCTGCGGAACATCCTTCACAAACCTGAACTCTCGGGTAGGTTGGCCAAATGGGTCGTTGAAATGAGTGAATTCGACATAGAATATAAACTAAGGACTGCGATTAAGTCACAAGTCTTGTCTGACTGTGTTGCCGATTTCAGTCCGGGATTACTGCGTCTAGCAACCAAAAAGGCAGTAATGGTGTTAGAGTCAACATCGGGAGTTTGGACCTTATTTATGGATGGAGCCTCTAACGTAAAAGGGTTCGGGCTTGGCATATTATTAACCACGCCTTCGGGAGAAACCCTAAGGCAAGCCATCAGAACGGTCCCTTTAACTAACAATGAAGCAGAGTATGAGGCTTTGATTGCAGGACTCGAACTGGCTCGGGGACTAGATTTCGAGGTCATAGAAATCAAGTGCGACTTATAACTGGTGGTAAATCAGGTCTATGGGATCTTCGAAACCAAAGAGGAGCGCATGAAACAATACGTGGTAAAGGTCCAGGCTCTACTGGCTCGATTTTCGGAGTTGTTGATTACTCATATCTCGAGGGAAGAAAATGTAGAAGCAGATGCACTGGCTAACCTCGGTTCATCAACGGAAATGAAGGCATCAGAGTCTGGGACGGTAGTACAACTGATGCACTCGGTCCTGGATGTAGATAGCTACTACGAGGTAAATGCGACTAATTTGGTCTAGGACTAGAGAAATGAGATCATAGATTATCTCGAACACGGGAAATTGCTCGAAGATGCCAAGGCATCCTGGGCGCTGCGTGCCAAAGCAGCACGGTATAGCTTCAAAAAAGGCCAATTGTACAGAAAATCTTTCCAAGGCCCACTGGCCCGGTGTTTGGGAGTGTCCGAAGCTAATTACGTAATGCGAGAAGTCCATGAAGGGATATACGGAAACCATTCAGGTGCAGACTCTTTAGTGTTAAAGCTGATAAGGCCAGGATATTATTGGCCCTGCATGGAACAAGACGCCAAAACTTTCGTACAAAAATGCGATAAACGCCAACGCTACGCACCGCTGGTACATCAACCGGCAGAACCACTACACTCAGTTCTTTCTCCGTGGACGTTCATGAAATGGGGGATGGACATCGTCGGACCACGGCCGCCGGCTCCTGGTTAGGTAAGATTTCTTTTAATTTTAGCTGATTATTTTTCTAAGTGGGTGGAAGCAGGTCCTTATCAAAAGATCGGCGACTGCGAAGGGGTGGATTTCTTGTGGAAAACATATTATGCAGGTTCGAAATACCTAAAGAGATAGTATGCGATAATGGGCCGCAATTTATTGGCACAAAGATCACAAAGTTCCTTGAAGACTTGAAAATAAAAGAGGATCACTTCGTCACCCTACCATTCGAGCGCAAATGGTAAAGAGACGGACAAAGTGATTATACAAAACTTCAAGAAAAGGTTGGAAGCGGCTAAAGGTAAATGGCTAGAGGAATTACTCGGTGTTTTATGGGCATACCGAACAACGGCCAAATAAAGCACAGGAGAAACTCCTTTTCCCCTTGTGTACGGAGCAGAAGCCTTAATCTCGGTAGAAGTAGGGCCCACCTTGAGATATTTCCAAGCAAATGAAGGGTCAAACAACGAAGCAACATTAGTCAATTTAGAGCTACTCGATGAGCGCATGGACTTGGAGCATATAAGAATGGCAGCCCAAAAGCAGAGAATGGAACGATATTATAATCGAAAAGAAAACTTCCATTATTTCAAAGGAGGAGACTTGGTCCTAAGGAAAGTAACTCAAAACACCCGGGAGCTCAATACAGGGAAGCTAGGTCCAACATGGGAAGGCCCCTATCGGGTTTCAGCTGTCACCGAGAAAGGTTCGTACGAATTGGAGAATCAAGATGGAGAAAGTTTCCTAGAAACTGGAACGTGGCACACCTCAAGTAATATTATTGCTGACAAACATCATATGTACTGAAAGTATGTGCTACACTCTTTTTTCCTTTGTCTAGTTTTTGTCCCAATTGGGTTTTTCTGGCAAGGTTTTTAACGAGGATGCAACGGAAAGCATACTACAAAGAAAGCTTCAATGATAGCAATAAAACCTTCTAATAACAAGGTACACAAGCGAAGAACCATGCAGATGGTTAGTTAATCTTTCGCTCGATAGCGAAATTCCTACTGGGAAGTTAAGTTTGCTATCGAACAAAGGTTACCCAAATGTTCGTAAGTGTAAACCACTAAAGAATAGTTGGATAGTATTTCGCTCGATAGCATAAATTCCTAAGGGGAAGCGAAGTTTGTTGCCAAGTTGAAGATTATCTAGCAATTCATTAGTGGGGCCCCTGAAGGTGCAAAACTTCCAGTGTTCCAATTTGCATTCGAACACTGTGGGGAATAATATGAGGATACGGTAACTATGACTACCACGTCGTCCTGGAAACGAAAACCGGAAACATAGTTGTATCATGGGGACCGGGGACTGCGCGGCCAGCCCCGTAGAAACAAGTTGTACAAGCTAGCCACAAGTAATGGTAATATCGTTTCAGAATAACATCTGCTTATGTACTTTGTGAAAATGGAAGGAATAAAGTGAAGTCCTTTTATTTCTATTTTGTTTCTTGTCTGAATGATGAATTGACTTTGTCATTTGAAAGTTAAATAAGTACTTCAAATGCTAGTGCCGTAATGAATGTGAGACTTCCTCTTCAAGAGCACCGTAAATATAAGTGGCCCTCTCTTATGAAAACCCTTACGTTAAAGGGTTGATTTCAGAAGAGCTTATGCCCGGAATCAAAATGCCTTCGGGGAAAAATACACCTGAAGCCTTGCACAAAAAGACGCAAAAAGCAAATTCGCAAAAATACTTATGAAAACCCTCATGTTAATGGATTGATTTCGAAGGAGCTTCGTCCGAAATCAAAATGTATTCGGGGAAAAATACACCCGAAGCCTTGCACAAAAAGACGCAAAAAGCAAACTTGCACAAATACTTATGAAAACCCTCACGTTAAAGGGTTGATTTCGGAAGAACTTATGCCCGGAATCAAAATGCATTTGGGGGAAAAATACACCCAGGGCCTTTCATAATCAGACGCAAACAATAAAACTTGCGAAAACACTTGAGCAAGAAAGAATGTAAAGGTTAAAACTTGCATGAATGTTCAAACAAAATAATGCAGAATGACTCATGCAATACTTGAGCAAAAGATGTGTTTATTTGCAATAAACGCGCCAAAACGGTGTAGATACAAAATTTGGGAAAATAGAGGAAAATCTAAACTACTGCATCTTCGGAGACGGGAGGAAGAGAAGCGTTCGCACCCCAGGGGAAGTGGATAGATCCACCACCGGTTCGATATCTCGTCCTTCATTATTTGGGCCCTTAGCATCATCATCTTCTGGTTCCTCTTCAGTTCTCGAAAATTTTGAACTAGAACAAGAAGAGCCAGAAGCATCAGACCCTGCCGAGAGACCACATTTAGCAGCTAACTCAAGCTCATGGGCCTTAGAAATTTCAGCATCAAAGTCAATGATACCATTTTGGCCTCTTCCAAGGTTTTTATCCTCATGCTATACATAACGTAAGTTTTCTCAACAACGAGGGAAGCCGCTCGGCGCTTAAGTTCTTCTTTGAGTTGGGTTACCTCGGCAGAAAGGGTTTTTCGGGCGGATCTAATGGACTTGTGGCTAACGTCAAGTTCGCGGACAGTAGAGCTGAAAAATCAATTATGCTCAATGGTCTTCTTATACTTATCCTCCAACTGAGCATATTTCATCTCCACAGCAGCAAGCTCTTTAGTCTTGGAATTCAAGGTTACCTCTAAATTGATCAATCTTTCAGTAGAAGCAGCCCCATGATCGGATGCAGCAAGGACGACATTATGAACATTAACCCATTTGGCTTAGCATCTTCAAATTGAATCCTCAACGGGGCGATCTCTTGGCTAAGGGTCTCCATTTCATGCTCGCTTTGCTGCAAACGAGTTTCTAACACAAAAGCCTTAGCAACTTTGGTTTCTAGTTCCGAGAGGCAAATAACAGCTTGATCCCGTTCGACCAAAAGTTGATCCCGCTCGGAGGTAAGTCCCTCTTTTTCCCAAATCAACCTCTGAAAGCCTTCGAAAGCAAGAAAGTTGGCCTACGAAATAAGGGGGGGAAATTTAGGATATTTTCAAGCAAAAATAGAAGAAATAAAAAGGAAGTAAAGAATGTACCACTGCGGCGTTGCGCATGGCATTGTTCAACAAGCACTCTCCCAAGAGAGCCTGCATCTTTTCCCAATCTTTCTATGACGCCAAAGGCTTCAGATAGTTAGCAAGTTCCACAGTTCGGGATAGAAAATTGCATCCGATACAAACCGAGAGAGTAACGTTCCTCCTCCTTTGTGGATCTTCTGAGGGGACACCATAATTTTTCCCCAAATTCCCATAAACTGTGGAGTGGGGAAGAGGAATATCTTTTTCTCGGGCGGACACGGTCGGTGGAGATGATGTAGCAGTTTTTGGCGGAAGAGTTGGTGAAGAAGGCGATGCAGCTGATGGTGTTAAAGGATGAGAGGCAGCTGCGACGAACGCAGTGCTGGTTGTTGGTTGCTCATCAACCGAAGATGGTAGGGGTCCGGTACTCAGACTCATGGTACCGGGCGCAATGACTGGGTTTGGTCAACGAGAGTTGGAATTTTCCACCATTTCAATCTCCCCCAGAGAGCCGAGACATCATCCTCGGGTTGTGTAACTAACTCAACAGGTTGAGCATCCTGTTGAGATGATAAGGATTGTCATCTTCTATGTAGAGAAGCTCCCTCATCACTAGATTCTCCATCACCATAGATCATCATGGTGTCTATAACCGGCCCAGCTGGAGGGATCATCACCATGATTTCCGGAGATGACTCAGGTACGACATTCTTTGCCCACTTATTCTTAGCCCCGACCGTGGAGGAATGCTTTCTTTTTGGTTGCTTGTTCTCCGGCCGAGGACTCCGTGACACAACACTTGTACCCAAATCAGGCTTGGAGACACCTATTCGAGTAAGCGCCTCTTGAAGCAGCCTAACCACATCAGCAGGATCAGCCAAAACGTCCTTCTCGGGGACGACAACCAAACCCGCGGATAGACCTAATTTCAGAAAATGGGGAGAAAAGAAAGGACCAATCAATTTCCTCACATAAAAAGTAGAAATGAGATGAGTCTAAGTTACCATTTTTTTTGGCCTTCCACCCATATTTGAGGGCCAATTCTTTCAACGTGCGGGTTTCTAGCATAGTGACGTCCGAGATTTTCTGGACCCACTGGTCCAAGCCTTCAACCCTACGTGTAACCCATCGAGTTGCTGAAACAGGAGAAGGACGGAGGATCAATACGGATATGAAAAAATTTCTAATGAAAGAAATATTAAACAAGTAACTTACGAGTGTGGTTCCATGATTTCAGAAAGGATGAAGACGTTGCCGGAATTATATCATCGGTGGAAATTGCAATGAACCATTCCATCCACCCACGACCATTGTCATCATCCATGCTTGATAATAGAGCAAGGTGGTCGCGTTTACTGAAGTTTATCATTGCCCCGTGGAAGACTCTGGGGGAATAAAGATTCATCACATGAGCTAAGATAGCTCCTCTCCTGTCTCGTGGCACAAGCAGTGAAGACAAGCAATCGTCCTCCACACAGAAAGACTTACTTGTGCCAAACACGCTTGGTAGCGGAGGCAGAACTCCGCAATAACAAAGTCAAGCTCTCCACTCAAAGAAAACACTCCCAAAACAAAGAGATACTTGTAAAAGTATGTAAAACCCTCCTTGGATAGGGTTACTCGCTCTTTTAGATCAGGAGAAACAATGTCCAAATAATAACAGCGGCAATCTCCCTTCACAATAGGAATACTGGAAGGATGGATGGAAGAAGGGTATTTGCCAACGGCGCACGTGTGAGGGTTAGCCGAAGGGAATTTCTCTTCGAAATCTTTTGTGTAACAAGACTTCTAGGGATAATGGAACCCACTGTTGGACGAGCAGCGTCCTCGGCTTTGCTCTTGCTCTTTGAAGAGCTGGTGTTCTCTGAAGAAGAAGCCATTATATGTTATAGATGAAGGAAAAACTTTTTTCGTTTGAAGGAAGTTAAAGAAAGGGGGAAGAAAATAATTAAGGTTTTGGGAAGTTTGG